AACTCGGACATTCCAATGTCCAGCACGTTGACCGTCTCGGTCCAGTGCTCTCGCCAATGGCGCTTTTGTCTCCTAGTAGAGGTGGGTTCATGACACACAAAAGCTCCACCAGGAGACATGCGCGTAGCGCCCAAGGTCTTCAACCTCCAATCAATCCATAGCTCAAGGTGTTCCAACCATGCCATTCCTAGGATGAGGTCGTACGTTGCATCCAAGTCTAAGACTAGACAGCTTTCCGCGCTATCAAAGTCAAGGAACTTGACTCCGAGGTCCACAGCGACCTTCGGGACCGTGACACGTGTCCCTGTCGCAAGGCGAACAGTGACGATGTCACCCAACCGTGCTTTCAGCGTTGCATATTAGCCCGACGCCCCGGAATCGATGAGGATCTTCCATGGCTGCTCGAAGCCCTTTACGGTCGCCGCCACGACCATCAAGCCGGGCGTGCATACACGTGCCGTGTTCAAGAGTACGGAGCTCTTCGAAGCTGGGCCCTGCTGACCTATGCCTTCGTGAGGCTCAACAGAACTTAGAATTCCCCAGTAGGTCGCCCCGCGCCTACTGGGTGGTGTCGTTTCTCCGCGAAAAACCAGACTGGTAGGAATTGGGGCGATGGTTTGAAGAACCTTACGCTACTTGCGTAGGGGGGCATCCGTTCTGAAGGTGACGGGTGTCTCCACAGACAAAACACCTTCGAGTGTTTGTGTGCTGCCCGGCAACTCGAAGCTCTGCTCCCTCATCCTCAGCATAGCTTAGATCCATGGGCATAGGCCCGCTTAATGAGCTGTTGGAGTGTACATTTCAACCAAGTCGTGCCAACTTGAAAATAAACTTGGCATTCAATGCCACATTCACCGCCTCTTCAAACGAAGACGGATGCACAAGAAAGACTTCTATTTTGATCACGCCAGTGCGGAGGACTTCCATAAAAACGGTCACTGTGACCGCCTCCGGAAGGGGATCGCTGCCATCCCGGCAATGAGAGTGCGCATATCTTGGACAAGTCCACCAGTTCTTTGTTGCCCTATCAGGAGGCAAGGAAACGCGATCGCGCGCGATATGCCTGATTAGGCGGCAAGAACACTTGTGAGAACTGCAATTTCAGTCTCATCCGGAAGGGAAACGCAACTTCGACCGAAGTGCCGCACGACAGTGCTCGTTCTCGCGCTCGACCACCGAGCTTTGAGATGCTAGCGCCACGCGCTGTTGTTCGGTCTGGAGCATGGCGAGTGCGATGGCCATCTTGACCTCTCCTACCCAAAGCAGGAGATTATTCCATCTCTTCCCCTCAAAGATCTTAACGCTCACCATGAGGCATAAGGCGGGAGAAGTCATCCGTTACTGGCGGTGACGTTATAGACGCAAATGAAGCATACATCTTCTGCTGCAAGTGCTCTAGCATTGCGTTTTCGTGATTTGAAAACGCCTCTAGATGCGCGCCAAGTGCCTCGGGGCCTTGCCAGCAAGGTGTTGCACGATCTCAGGGCCCAGCAAGGACATAAGCTGTTTAAGCCCGTCCTGCATGCTCTGGGGAAAAGAGAAAATTGCATCATCCTCACAAAGGATCAGTCGTAACGACTCAGGTGTAGATTGACTACAAGTTCTACCAAGTGCAGTGGGGCTGCCGTAGCATTGCGTTTAAAGGAGGCGTAAGTTTAGTCAACGACCTTTCGTTCTATACATAGAACAAATACGAGTTTAGCGGATCTCAGTCCGCTTACTCCAAGTGCAGCGGGGCTGCCGTAGCTTAGCGCTTGAGGAAGCGTAATTAAGGTCATCGACCTTTCTTTCTATACTTCA